TATATATATATATACATCAAATAACCTCAGCTCTCCATGTTTAACTCATCTGTTTACTTAAATTCAGTTGTATAGTCAGTTTCATGAGTAAGTCATTATGAAGCAGAATATAAATGCAAATATAAATCAAAGTTTCATGCTGTGAATGTACATGTTCTGAAGTGTTATATAGCATCATAACGTCTGTTGATGGAAGTTCAAGTGTTTCTCCTCCTGGATTATTTCTCGCAGCTGAAAGATAAACGCAGGTGAAAATGGGCGTGTTCAAAGTTCTGCTCGGCCTCGCCCACCTTACGAGTCTATTGGCCGCCGCTGTGATGAGTCACGAGGGGGCGTGTCTGGGGGACGGGAGGCACAAAGCCACGCCCAGCCCAGAGCCTCATCTCAAGCAGTGTTCGCTCTACATGGAGAGTGTGTGCACACTTCACAGTCACCTTACAAACACACAGTCAAGACCAGTTCATTTAGAGTCACATTTTAAAACAGCCCAGTAGAATTGGTCCTCCATGGATTGTAGTTTTGTCCCAGTTTGTGAATGCTTGTGTCTCTGTCCAGACTCGTGTTGTTCAGAGAAGGATGTCCAGGATCTGTCCGGCTCTGTGTCCGGCGTGGACAGCTCTCACTGGGATAAGTGTGGTGTCCTCAGCCCTCTGTAAGCACCTGCCGATTATGATTCATTATGTATACTGAGGTATAAATCCTAAACAAAGTATGGAAATTGATTGATTCGATCACAATATTATTGATTAAAATACCACTGTTGGTCACTTTAACAGCAGCTTTATTTCATTTATATCATATTTGTCTTGAATAAAACAAAGTTTGTATTTATTATTATAAAGGGTGATTTAAACAGTTCATGAAATAATTTAACAGACAGAATTTTCTTTCTCGTGTTGACTATTTCCTATTAAAACAATAAGTAAGCTTGTTTGTTTGTTTACATGAATCTTTATTTATATATTCAGGTAGTTATTTTAGTTATTTAATCCATTTTTGTTATTTTTAATTTGTTTGCTAATTTATTGATTGATTTTTATTTTTTATATTTAGTTATTTGGCTATTTTTTCATGTCTATTTATTTTCAATCCATGTTTGTTTGTTTATTTATTATTTTAATGTGTGTTTATTAATATATTTAGTTATTATTTTTTAAATCCATGTTTCTTTATTTATTGATTGATTGATTTTTTTCATTTTTAGTTATTTGGTTATTTTTATGATAACATTATTTTTATTTCATGTCTTTATTTTCAAATCATGTTTATTTATTTATTATAATGTATGTTTATTAGTACAGGTGCATCGACATTCTAATTTATTGAGATGCACCTGTATATCAGTTGGCAATTTTTTCCATGTTTGTTTATTAATTTATTTGTTGGTTGGTTTTTGCTTACGTTTGGGTCTGGTTTTTGCTTATGTGAAGTTTTGTATAAATACTCATTATTGTTCTCCTGAAGGCGTTTGTATTGTATCAACAAAGACTGAGAATATTGAATTTATAAATATCCGCTAAAAAGTTAATTCTGTCAACTTTCAGAAGTCCACTATATGACAACATGAGCTGAACTCTTGTTTTAATGTGTTGTTTGCCATTCTTTCTCTCTCTCTGTAGCTGTGAGTCCTTCCTGAAGCGCGTCGTCTGTTTTTACCGCTGTTCTCCTGATGCTGCTCGCTGGCCACACCCACATCGTGACTCCTCCCTGAAGGCAGTGCCTCTGTGTCACAGCTTCTGCAGAGATTGGTGAGGCCACGCCCACTCATTTTGTGGTCATAAGCTTGTTTGATACCAGCTTTGATTGACAGTAATGAGCTGAATGCATCAAAATGTTCTTCATCAATTGCCAGTTTAGCTGTTGGTAATGTAGACGACTCTGATGATGTGAGTCACTGTTGCAGGTACGAGGCCTGTAAAATGGACATGACATGTGATCGGGACTGGACCACTGACCCACGCGGACAGAACTGCAGCGGTGGCTGTGTGCCATACCAACAGGTAACATGCCATACCAAACATGATATAGCTTAACCACACAAACTACTGGAGCTTCACAGTATAAAGAAAATGTGAGTGATATTCATCTGTGCAAACCCCATTGCTACAGTGGTGTTGCCAGGGTGTTGCTATACAATTGCAAAGGTGTTCTGAGGAGTATTTGCCACATTGCTGTATGATTAGGGTGTTGTGGGTGGTTGCCAGAGTGTTGCTATGCAGTTGCAAAAGGTTTATTTTTATATATATATTTTGAGTGTGTTGCTAAGTGTAGGGTGACCATACGTGCCATTTTCCCAGGATGCGTCCTGGCCAGGATTTCTATATTGCCTAAAATATCTAGGTTTTGGCTTTGTTTGCGTGTGCAGACCGATCGGTGTATGACATCAAAGTACCATACAGACGGTTATGCTTTCGAAACGCTCTCGAGGTACTTTGATGTCAAACACTGATTGGTCTGCTTTTAAGTCGAACACACCTAATATGTACGCGTAATTGCATCGCTTTGACTGTAGATCCCACCTTCTCACACGCCCTGATTGGTCCATTATGTACAATGCCTGCATGTTATTGGTCAAACTACTTTTCGATCATTACCTTCAGCAAGCATGAAAACAGGAAAACAAAGCCAAAACAAATCCTGGCCAGGATGCGTCCTGGGAAAATGGCACGTATGGTCACCATAGCTAAGTGGTCACTAAGGTGGTGTTCTGAGTAGTTTTATTTTTTGGCACTTTGCTGTGTGTTAGGTGTTTGCCCGATGTTGAGAAGTAGTTGCTAAGGTGTTCTGATTGTTGATAAGTGGTTGCTAAGGTGTTCTGAGTAATTTTTGACAAATTGCTATGTGTTAGATGTTGCCAGGTGTTCTGAATGTTGCTAAGTAGTTGCTAAGGTGTTCTGGTTGTTGATAAGTGGTTGCTAAGGTGTTTTGATGTGTTTTAGCCACACTGCTGTGTTGCCAGGGTGTTGTGTGTGGTTGCTTGGTTGTTGCTTAGCAGTTGCTAAGGTGTTCTGATTGTTGATAAAAACTGAGGAGTTTTTATCACATTGCTATTGCTAGGGTGTTGTGGGTGGTTGTCAATGTGTTGCTAAGTGTTTTGATTGTTGACAAGAGGTTGCTAAGGTGTTATAAGGATTTTTTAACACATTGTGTCATATTGCAAGGTTGTTGTGGGTGTGAGGTGCCAAGTTGTTGCTAAGGTGTTTTGAGTAGTTTTTTGGCACTTTGCTGTGTTGCAGGTGCAATGGTGTTGCTATACAGTTGCTAGGGTGTTGTGGGTGGTCACCAGCATGCTGTTATGCAGTTACTTACATTTACATTTAGTCATTTTGCAGACGCTTTTATCCAAAGCGACTTACAATTGGGGCGACTTACAATTACAAACATAAGTTACTTGTGTTTTGAAATATTTACAGTGTGTTGATAAGGTGTTTTGAGTAGTTTTTGACATTTTACTGTTTTGCAAGAGTGTTGTGGGAGGCTACTAGGATGTTGATATGCAGTTGTTAAGGTGTTGTATACATTATGAATTGTTTTTAGTGTGTTAAGTGGTTAATAAGGTGCTTTGGATGGTTTTGAGTGAGTTGATAAGTGGTTGCCAAGGTGTTTTGAGTGTGTTGATAAGTTGTTGCTAAGGCGTTTTGAATTGTTTTGAGTGTGTTGATAAGTGGTTGCTAAGGTGTTTTGAGTGTGTTGATAAGTTGTTGCTAAGGCATTTTGAATTGTTTTGAGTGTGATGATAAGGGGTTAATAAGGTGCTTTGCATTGTTTTGAGTGTGTTGATAAGTGGTTGCTAAGGTGTTTTGAATGTGTTGATTAGCAGTTAATTGGGTATTTTAAGTTGTTTTGGCAAATTTTGCCGTGTTGCTAGGGTGTTGTTTGGAGATTACAAGAGTGCTACTATGCCATTGCTAAGGTGTTGTGGGTGGTTACCAGGGTGTTGCTATGCAGTTGCTAAGGTGTTTTGAATTGAGAGAGTGAGAGAGTGTGTTGATAATGAGTATTTTTCTGAGTATTTTTTGGCACATTGTGTTCCTAGAGTTTTGTGGATGGTTGCCAGAGTGTTGCTATGCAGTAAAATGTTTTTTTTAGTGTGTTGATAAAGTGTTCTGATGAATTTTTGCCACATTGCTGTATTACTAGAATGTTGTACATGTTTGCCAGGATGTTGTTATATAGTTGCTAAGGTGTTCAGAAGAGTTTAGGTGCTTTGCTATGTGTTGCTAGGGCGTGGGTGGTTGTGAGGGTGTTGCGTAGCTTCTAAGGAATTATTTATGTCCGGGGCACAAATGCTGCAGAATGATGGTCAGACTGAAGTTTAACAATGCGTGCTTGAGGTCTGATGAGCACAGAGCTGGGTGGATTACTTACAAATTGTAGTATGTTACTGATTACAGATTACATGATGATAACTGTAGTTAGTAGCGTAATCGAGGTTACTCATTTTAGGTAATGTAATCTGGCTACTTTTTAGGTTACTTTTAGATTACTCTTTATCAAACCTGTTTTAAACTTACCAATAAAGTGCAATATTGATATAAAAAATAAATAAAATATATATTTTTTTAATGTCAGTATCATAAAATGTATTAAACATTACATTACACCAAGCTTTCCCAAACTGGGCTTAATATAAGAACTGCAGTGGGTTTGTGAGTTGATAAAAAGCTAATAATTCATTAAATCATAACAATGTTAAATAAATATAATTTAACCACGTGAACACTAAAAATAGGAATATTTGATCTGTTACCTGCATCTCCGTGTGACCATTAACCGACCTCAGAGAACTATAAACACGTGAATGTATAATGTGCTATTTTCCCTCAAATTCAAAAGCAAATTTATTTACACAATATTTGTTAATATAGTCAAAGGTATGACACACAGTAGGATTTTTAGAAACGAAAATTTAGAAGAGAAAGATTAAGAATTAGGGAGAATCAATAAATCAGTAAATTATTAATTATTTACTGCTATTGTGTGTATAATATGTAATCATGTAATCCATAAAAAGTAACAGTAATTTGATTATGAGCATTTAAAATGTAACATACTCTAATTACAAGTATTTTTACAAGTAATTTTTGGAATCTGATTACATAATCCAAATTACATGTATTCAGTTACTACCCAGGACTGGATGAGCACTAGTATTAGCGATGTAAACATCACTGAGGAGAGGAGCGCTCGGGAGAGAGTGTGTGAAGAGACGCGGTGTCTCCAGGCCTGGACACAGCTGGAACCACACACACACACACACGGAGTGAAGGTGTCAGTTCATGTCACTCTTTCTCACCGCTGACATGCTGAACATGTGAAAAGAGAGAGAGTGTGAATCAGTGTGACCGGCCTCTCATACAGACAGTTTCAACACTGAGATGTGTTGAGATAATGTTGTTTGCTGTTTGAACGTTGAAAAAGCATTGCTGCAGTGTTTAATGTAAAATTAATGATTGTAAAATGGGGCAAAAACCTTTTCACACCACTGTATATATATTTAGCTTCTATTTTATTTCAGTTTGTTTGAGTAATTTTAGTAAATCAACAAACTCAATTCATTTAGTTGAAAATGGCAGCATTTTTACGTTTTTCATCTAATGTTATATTTTTTTGTATTTGTATTTCAACTAATGGAAAAGTTAAAATTTTTAGTAACTAAAGGTGAACACTGGCTGATATAATCATATTTTACATTTAAATGAGATAAACGAACACAGTCTTTAGCAATCTGAAGAACCATTCAACTTGACTTTGTTTATTATTCTATAGTTTAGGTATATTTATTGCATTTTTTGTCTTATTCTTTTCTTTTTCATTTTATGTCATCAGAATGCTTAAAGGGGTCATATGATGTTGCTAAAAAGAACATTATTTGGTGTAATGAAATGTGTTTATGCGGTTTAAGGTTAAAAAAACACATTATTTTCCACATACTGTACATTATTGTTTCTCCTCTATGCTCCGCCTTTCTGAAATGCGTCGATTTTTACAAAGCTCATCTGTCTGAAAAGCGAGGTGCGTTGTGATTGGCCGAATACCTCAAGCGTGTGACGGAAATGTTACGTCCCTTACCATTTTGTGATGCCTGCGGCAACCACATGTGACGACCCCGGGCTGAACTCCGCTTCGTCCACGGTGAAAGCCGATCCAGCGATCCACAGCGAGAAGTTGATGTATTTCCTCAGCGACCAGCACGGATCAGCTCCAGGCATGACGAAGCAGATATTGTCCTCTTTTGGAAGGCCAACCAAAGTAGTTTTGCTTTCACAACGAAACACACAGCGCCTTCAGACATGGCGGCGGCGGCAACAATACTACAGCGAGAATAAAAGTTACACCTTCTTTCTTTGCGTGAACATTTGGGTGGCATTATGCAAATCTTCCCACATCGTGACATAGGTATGTGGGGGCGTGTTAGAACGAGCAGTTTTAGGTAGGCGTGGCTGACTCTTAACTTTTATAAAGAATATCTCTTTGGATTTGAGACTTTAGTCTTTGCAACTTTACAGATCTTCTTTATGCACCAAGAGCTTGTAACACTCCAAAGAGAAAGGGCAAATTTAAATCGCATCATATGACCCCTTTAATAGAAATCAATTACGCTCTGCATTCTTAGCATTGCCACAAGAGGCCACTATAGCAGCATTAGTGTGAACTGTCTTCTACTGTCAGGTTGGATCTACATTTTGAAAAGAATTGTGCTCTCACATGTATCTGTGTTTGTTGGTCAGATGTACCAGCATGGCCGAGACCTCTGCGAGAGTCTTTGGGGAGACGCTTTTATGACAGTTGAAGACGACCCCGGGGAGGAAGATGGTGTTGAAGGCCATAGCTGCGGCTGTCTGACCCTCAGCCCATCTGATCGAGAGGTGATCGCCGCTCTGAGGGTTCAGGAAGGAGACCCTGAAGAACTGGACACCACCAAGAGTGGCCTGCCTCAGTACAGAGCCCCCTGCCCTCCCGCAGGGCGTCAGACGCGCAGCGCCACAGTACCGCCACAGGCTCGGAGGAGCAGCGCCAACGCCGTACTGCGCAAGCGCTCCATACTCGCCAGCGACATGGAGGGCAGCGGAAGCGGATTCTAGGAGAGCTGTGTTCTAGATCTGACGAATGTTTGTTATTGAGTATTTTATCTTATCAGTTGAGTTTACAGTAAACTAATGCAGTGAGGTTTCTACAGTATTGTCTATTTAACACAGTCAACAAAACAATCCTGTGTAGACTAAAGCTACTTCTGTAACATAAAATTCTGCTTATTTTAACCTGTTTAAGGTAACATCAAAAGTTGAATTTAGGTCTGAACAACACTTTACAATAAGATTTCCATTGTTAACATTAGCTTACTACACTAATAAACACGAATGAACGATAATACTTCTACAGCATTTGCTAATTTAAATTAATGTTAATTTAAACATTAGTTTTGAAATCAAAAGTATCTGCTAACATTAATGCTCTGTGAACCGACATGAATAATAACATTGATAAATGCTGTAATAAAAATATTGTGTGTTAGTTCATACTAGAAAATGGCTAACAAGAAATGGCTAACAACTACAAATAAATTAAGTAACAAGATAAATTAAACATGGAATCCACAAGATTAGGAAAGTCAAGTGAGGGCAAGACTGTCCCACACAGATTTCGCACCGAGTTCAATTTGTTCCCGCGCTTACTAGTGTTGCCAAGTCCGCGGTTTTCCCGCTGTTTTTTTCAACCGTTCTCATGGGTTGTGTTTTAGATCGATTTTGATAGCCAGTTTCGCGATTAGACCGAACGCGTTCCAGTTTTGGCCGTGATTGGAGTTTTGAGCAGCAATTGGGCAGGTTTTGTTCTGCAGACCTGGCAACCCTGGCAAGACTAATAGAAAGATTCTTGCTTTGAAAATGACTTCTTTGCGCTTCATATACTGCTATAATGGATAATGGATGTTTTTTGTGTAACAATATTTTGCTAATGTTCACACATTTCAATGTATAAATAATGCCAACAAGGAGTTTATCGTAACGTGTTACCGAATATTCTGTTTCACTTGGAATTGCGTCACATTAAGTCAATAAAATGGGTTTCAACTGTTTATTCAGTGTAATTACATGAAAGCACATAACATTATTATGGTACTTTTTTGGCTCGCTTTAAACTTAAATGTTGCTGTTGTCAATTGTTTCTATAACTGTGATATTTCATGATAATCTGTTCTACTATCTCATAATCTGTAATCATCTATTACACAGAGTGTGATGTCGGTACGTTGTGTTAATTTTTTGCGTAATGACTTTGTTAGTGAAAACATACTGTTATAGGCTACATAAAAATAATGCTGTAAAGAAAAGAAAACAAACGAGAGAATACTGTGAAATGTGTTTGACTGTAGAACGAGTGTAGGCCTAGTTGACTGTTTTGGCGGGTTGCGCGAGGACATGTTTTGTTTGTAGGCCTATGTAAATGACTGTGCGCCACTGTGAGCGATCTGATGTGCTGCTATTCTGTGGCTGCAGTAAGTAAACAAATGCGTTTCTATTCTGATCTTACATGTCTCTAATTCATAAATAAATATAATTGGAATTTGTTCTTTTACTTGTTTGTTCTTTTTAAAGCAGTGTAATGAAGTCTTATCATTTGGTGTTTATACCGCCAAATTTACAATAAATTATTGAACTTAAATTAGGCTATATCTAATCAGCATGACATTAAAACAGTACCCATAATACCTTTAATACATAAATGTAGGCCTATTTGTAGAAAAGTATGTAGTACATACTGTCGCCCTGCTTATTTAGTCTCCTATCACTGTGTAATGAGAAGCAGAATCATGATTTATTCTCCGGTAAACACCATTAGCCTCATTTCTTCAAGGTCATGTTTAACGTGTATGGCACTTGTACCACTAGATGGCGATATAAAACAATCTTAAAGTGAATAATTAAAAAAAAAAAAAAAAAAATGTATGCTGAAGCCATGATGAGTTAAGAGGTTTGACCTTGAAGTTACTGAATTGATTTCTAATTATTTTAGCTTTAGTTAACATTAACAACACTGATGTCGACTCATTAATCAAGATGTAAAATCAGTAAAAGACTGCAGGTCAGGTGCAATGATTATAAAAATAAACAATATGTAACATTTAAATCATGGTAATACCTTTTGGCAAATTAAAAAAATAATCATGTGTACTGAATATCACCACAGCTGTGATTGAGCCGTAGTATTAATATTTTATTATAGCTATACAGGCCTAAAGCAGAATCAGGCTTTAACAGGAAATTGTATCTTTCTTGAAACACTGATTGTCTAATTGCTGGACCACATTTAACTGTTGTAGGATTTATTTAATATTCATTTTCATCAAATGCTTCTATCTGACCCCTGCTTTGACCCACAGATTAGTTCAACAAACGGATCTGAGGCATCGATGAGAGTCTGAGCAGATACTGGAGAGCATGATGTAACAGCCGGGTTGATCTGAAGCAGCCGTGTCGGTGGGTGTTTGACGGAAAGTGTCACAATTTGAGCCTCAGTGTTCATCTATCGGTTTTGGAAGGGACAAGAGGGAATATTCATGAGATCACAGGAGAGATTTACAGTGTGTGAGTGGGAGAGAAAGAGAGATGAAATGTGCTAAAACTGTGTGATGGAGGAGTGAGCCCACATTTTGTCGTCATCAGTCATTGATGTTTCTGCTGTGTGTGTGTGTGTGCGCATGAGACACTCATTCTGACAGTCTGTCAGGTGTTAAAAAGCTTCTCTTGTCCACTACATGTAGAATAGAGGAAGTAAGAAGAATAAATGTTCCATCAGGCTCTGAAACTTTCAGGCTCATCACAAAGGCAGGATAAAAATAGCACACACAGGTTCTGTTGTGAAACTTTGCTGAATGAGCTTTGACTCATTCATGAGCGCTGCACTTTTACAGGCCTGTGAACCTTTCTCGTGTCAATTAAACTGAGAAAGGGAAACGAGAGAGAAACGTAAAACCAGAATAACTCAACTCACCTTCAATGTGAAAAAAGAAACAGTTTCAGGTTAACTCATACAAAAATAAATAGTTCAAAATAAACTGCCATAAGAGAGTCTTTTAAAGGTCTTTAGGAACTCGTATACTGGTGAAGTCAAAACACTGAACTGAAGAATCTATAACTTTCTCAAATTTAAAGAATCACATAAGCTACTCAAAAAATCGAGCCTATTATTCTTATTATTAAGGTAAGAGCAGCGGCCATTTCCCTTATACAAATTCTAGACTAACCATAGTTTAACCATGGCATTTGTTGTAAAACTGTGGTTAAACAAATGGTAATAAATAGCGTAATATAAAAAATGTATAAAAAAACAAACAAACAAAAAAAATATGGTTACTAGGCCCACACTTTTACTATAATAAAACGACACTCTAAAAAATGCTGGGTTAAATATAACCCAGCGCTGGGTTAAAAAGGGACAAACCCAGCTATTGGGTCGTTTTGACCCAGCTTTTGGGTCGTTTTGACCCAGCTATTGGGTCGTTTTGACCCAGCTATTGGGTCGTTTTGACCCAGCTATTGGGTCGTTTTGACCCAGCTATTGGGTCGTTTTGACCCAGCTATTGGGTCGTTTTGACCCAGCTATTGGGTCGTTTTGACCCAGCTATTGGGTCGTTTTGACCCAGCTATTGGGTCGTTTTGACCCAGCTATTGGGTCGTTTTGACCCAGCTATTGGGTCGTTTTGACCCAGCTATTGGGTCGTTTTGACCCAGCTATTGGGTCGTTTTGACCCAGCTATTGGGTCGTTTTGACCCAGCTATTGGGTCGTTTTGACCCAGCTATTGGGTCGTTTTGACCCAGCTATTGGGTCGTTTTGACCCAGCTATTGGGTCGTTTTGACCCAGCTATTGGGTCGTTTTGACCCAGCTATTGGGTCGTTTTGACCCAGCTATTGGGTCGTTTTGACCCAGCTATTGGGTCGTTTTGACCCAGCTATTGGGTCGTTTTGACCCAGCTATTGGGTCGTTTTGACCCAGCTATTGGGTCGTTTTGACCCAGCTATTGGGTCGTTTTGACCCAGCTATTGGGTCGTTTTGACCCAGCTATTGGGTCGTTTTGACCCAGCTATTGGGTCGTTTTGACCCAGCTATTGGGTCGTTTTGACCCAGCTATTGGGTCGTTTTGACCCAGCTTTTGGGTCGTTTTGACCCAGCGGTTGGGATGTTTTGAACCCAACCGCTGGGTCAAAACAACCCAATAGCTGGGTTTGTCCCGTTTTAACCCAGCATTTTTTAGAGTGTAGGGTTTCATAAGGGTTGTAAACTGAAAAGGTTGTTCCAGTCTCTTCAAGTAATTTAGTGTAAAGAACCGTCCATTATATTGCAAACTGGTAATTGAGATATTATTTTATTATCGTAAACACACTGGTTTGTAATGCAAATAGTTTTACCGTTTACTGCCCATTGTCATTCTGATAGTTATTTACTACCTAAAGCTGCCAAGTGTCGTACATTTGGCGAAAATAACTTATTCCGCTTGCATAAGTGGATAAACTGGGTTATTTGCTGAACCTCGTGTAAACGTCAGCAAACATTAGAACGGAACAAGTCCATTTAAATGAGAGAGGAGGTGGTAATGTTCCATAAGAAGCACTTATGAAACTCAAGAGCTGTTGATGCGTCAGATGAAACGATTAACGGTGAGCTGCACCTTTAAAATCTCCACAACAAGCCGAGCGCTTGTGCGCATGCGCCTGCCTGCTTCCAGCGCTTTGAAGTGGCTCGCTCTGATTCCAGCTCGAGTCGAGAACGAGCAGAAAAACACGCAGGTGGGGGACATCGCTGACGCCAGTGACAGGTGGACCCGAGTGGGCTTTTCTCACCGTGAAAAAAAACCCCGCTCCCATTTTCCAGCGAGCTGCACAAAAACAAACGTCCCACACGTTTCAGAGCCTGCTTCGGTTTTTGGCGTAGTTAGGACCCGTTGATGCTAGTAGATGATTTTTTTATGATCATAACATTTCTAAAACTATCACAGTACGTACTAAAACATATTATTTTAGCCTCTTAAGACCCGAGAAAGATTTTTAGGGAAAAAATAGTTTTTTTTCATGTCTTTACATTGTTTAGAGCATTAAAAAAAAGTAAAAAAAATAAAAATAAAATTGTAAAAAAAAAAAAAAAAAGACATTTCGTTCATTAGTTATGCTATGTCCTAGGTAGAGGAAATCGGGACTCAATTAAAAAAAATAATAATAATAAAATAAAAAGACATGATTGAACCTGCATAGGCAAAAACAATTGATTTTTTAAATCACCAATACATTTTTAGTTTTCAGGATTTTTTTACCAAAACAGATTGGTTATAACAGAATGATTTGCTATACCATTTTTCTTCATGCAAAATGTGTGTAAAATGGCCATAAACAGGTTTTCTCATTATATATAATGTATCTATAAACTAAATCTCATTTGCATATTAATGTGTTTTTGGGGCAACATGTAATGAAAAAAGAAGTGTAATAATGGGAGTAATATTTGACAAGATGTTCATAATAATATATAATATTTCATAGAATATTGAAACATAATTTCTTTCCTTATTCATTTGTTATGTCTCCCAAAATGCTAATAAACATGCTTTTAGTCCCAGTGTCCTCATATGAGGACATGTATGAAATCAGCGTCCTGTTTCGTAACAGAAAGTCATATTTTGATTTGAAACCCCATAACATTTTCCTGAGATGTTGATTTATGACAGACAGTTTAAAAATTAGACAGATTTAAATGATAATTACAAAATATTATCATATTTCCTTAAGAGTGTCACTAAATTAATATCAGACATATTTGAAGACCAAGTAGAGGGAGTGGTCATAGTGAAACATCCAAACATTTAGTATCTCTGAAAAGCCCTGGATGTGCTCTGTACAGGACATCCAGACTTCAAACTGTGGCATGTATAGTCTCAGAGAAATACACCAACATATAATGTCCTCATATGAGGTCACAGGGTCTCAGGAGGTTAGATCTGCTATTGAGGTAGTTAATTCAGAATGTTCAGCTCAGGGTC